CACCTACCCCCTCTTTGGGACAACGGGCTCTTATGCAAACCTAGATGCTAGGGGAGGCAGTCTTGGCAGAAGTATGTGTTAGGGACTGTGTATACAAGGTAGGGAGAGCAGGACCAGAATGAACCAGGAGGCCTTTGCTGGGTGCCTTGGGCTGGGGTCTTGGGAGGAAGTCTCATAACTGTGTTTTCCTTTCGTACTCGGGCCCTGGCTCATCCTCTCCAGATGCCTGCCTCATCCTAGGAGCGCCCCTTTACTCATCTACCATCAAGGGCGGTCCGGTTGCAGGCCTTGTATTCACAGCACACAGTGGCTTGTTAAAAATGAAAGCATTCTCTGGCAAGTGCTCTTTGTACGGCAGCAGGGAGGAAGAGGAGGAGAAAAGCACAGTTGATGAAGCCAAAGGACGCTGGCCAGAGGCCGTGTTGGCAGGCAGAGTGGAGTGTCTTCAGACTTGCTACTTCCCAGCACAGAAGCAGGCTTGTAAAGACCACAGCTGTTGGGTTACGCCGGAGTTCATATCACAGCTTATCAAAGAGGCTAGCTTTTCTCTCTTCTCTCCTTTTCTTCTGCGTGTAAGTGGGTGGTTCACAAGCAGACAAGGCCTGGGCTTGTTCAGCCAGCATTAGCATGGAGGGTAGGAAGAGGCTGGAGGAGGGCAATGCACACCAACACCTACTTTGGGCAGAGTTGGTTTAGTGGGGACAGGCTGGGTGCTAGTAGGTGCCCTGGGCACTGGGGCAGCAGAGCTAGCTTTTAGGATACAAGGTTCAACTATCCAAACTTCCCATGAGGCCTGTTCCTGTTCTCCACAGACCACCAGAGGAGGTGGAGGCCAAGTCTGTGCTAGCTGGACAACAGCTCCCCTTCATCAAACACCACCAGCACCTGGGCTGGACCCCTTAGGAGCTTATTCAATCCTGCTGTGTAATGACAAGATGGGCATCATGGGCATCTCTGTTTTATGGGCAAAGCAGAAAGGACTTGGAGGCAGGTTATATGGTCACAAATGTTACAAATGGGAGGACTTGGGATTTGGACTTCAGCTTGGCTCCAAAACCACACTCTTCCTCAGGCCCAACAGCTGTTTGTTTTCAAGAGCTCTGGATGCTTCTGTCTTCCCACCCTGGGCTCTCTGCTAAATACACTACTGCACAAGTAATGGCCTCTAACTTGTTCACAGAAGCAAAGCCTTATCTTTCTCAGTGTTCAATCTCGGGCTGAAGGAGAGGGTTGAAACACCACCTATTGTGCTCCTCATCGTGCCTGTGGTTCCATCAGTGTGTATGCATTAGTATGTCCTTCATACCCTTCTTTTTGTGTGTTTTTTTTTTTTTTTTTTTTTAATAGGAAAGGGTCTCTCACTGAGTCATTAATTCAGCTAGGCTGGCTGGCCAATGAGCTTCAGGGATTCAACTGTCTCCATCTCCACATTCCCACCCCTGGCTGGGATTACAGGCTCATACTGCCATGCCCTGCCTTTTATGTAGGTTCTGGGGATCTGAATTCAGATCCCTGTGCTTGTGGAACAGGTACTTAACTGACTAAGCCTGTGTAGCCCAGGCTTGCTTGGATCACTGTATAGCCCAGGCTGACCTTGAATGCACAGCAACCCTCTTACCTAAGTTTCCCCAATGCTGGGATTACAGGCATGAACCACAATATCCAGTTCTAGTATGCTCCCTCTTTAAAGTTATCAACAGGAGAGAATGACATGAAATGAAGATGTAGGCTGGCAGCCAACCACCCACCTCATACCTCATTGAAGGCCTTAGCTTCTTGTGCAACTATGGAGGCAGCTATGTGTTTGTGAGGCTAGATGTTGGGCTATGTGCCCTGGAAGCCCACACGGGGTGTTCAAGGAATGATCAGGGGATTGGTCAGCAGTGGTTGGGCATACTGGCATGGCAGGCAGCAGGTCATCAGAGGACGGTGGCTGCTTTTGGGTGATGTCAGGCTAGGTATCTGGAGCAAAGGCCAAAGAAAGACCCAAAGCTTTGTAGAGCCCAACCATAAGCTTCCATTTGTTTCAGCCAACTGGGTTCTTTGTGCTAGTAGGAACTAGGCCTGGCCTGGAGGCTGGGCTCAAGGACTTCTCAGAATCCGAATAGTTCTTAAGGAAATTGAGCTTTGGAATGGTAAGGGAATGTCATGCTGGGTATACTGCGATCCCAGAGGATGAGGAGATAGGACCCTTTGGGTAGCTGGGCCCATGTATTCCGGGCCCTGAGGATCCCTGGCATTCAGCTGTTCAGGAGCCCTTGTGGTTCCATGCTATGTCATCTACCCCAGAAAGACAATGTGTTGGCTGCTGAATTAGCAGAGTGAGGGGTTTGCAGCCCAGCTCTAAGCAATCCCAATGGGCACACTGCTTCCTCTCATTGTCTGTTCAGCAAAATGAAGTTTCTTATCAATCCCAGACACTCAAGGGATATCGTGAAGCCAACAAAATCTCACTGCCCTGGAGTCTGTAAACAGGAACATGGCAGTGGCCTGGTCACCAGCTTCAGAGTCTCAGGTAGGGAACAGGCTCAATGTCCACGTCACCTGCATTTCTGTTCTGTGCGGTCTAGGATATGCTGGGTACCACCCTGAGCTTCCCTCCCAAGGCCTCAGGTTGGGCATGTGAAGCCAGCTGGTGTGGACAATGAGGGACAGCCTTGTCTTACACAGAGGAAGCTGGTTACCTCTGTCTTCTTCAAAGCCCTCTCTCTCCACTGGTTCCCTGAGTCTACCAGGTGAGGGCTACTTATCAAGAGTGCTGACACCTCTACAGTCTGGAAAACCACACACAGTTAACTGTCACTCATGTGAGGGCATTCCACTGTTTTCCTGATGTGTGGGGTCCCTTGAACCAAATATAGTGTCTACTTCAATCTCCTAACTAGACCTGTTCAACTTCACGGTAAGAACCGTAGCTATCTTCCTCTTTTGGCTGATGAGGTTAAGAACCCATTTTTTGTAGGTACTGTACATTAACTGATTGTGCTCTACCAGTTATTCTCAAACAGTGATATCCTTTGTTTTTGTTTGGACAAATTAAAAAATGTATTTTTGGCAGTGCTGGGGACTGAACTCAGGGCCTAGAGCATGCTCACTAGACAAATGTTATACAGCTGAGTTACATGCCCAGCCCTGAGACATTTTTGATTGTCCAAACTGGGAGTGGGGGGAATAAAGCAGGTACTACTGGCATCCAGTGAGTAGAGGTCGGGGATGTGGATTTCAACACCCTACCACACAGAACTATCTGGCTCAAATGGCCACAGTGCTCAGGTATAGGAAGGGCCTGGAGAAGTGGGATGAGGGAGACAGCCTCTTCCACATCACAGGGACACCCCTGGGGTTCCAGACCATCAGAAGCTCCTTCTTCCTGCTGCTCTTTTTCTATCCCCTTAGGGCTCTATCCTTTGGCTTAGCTCCCAAGGTGTCCACAACTCTAATGCTCTGCCCCTAATGTAGTTGTATTCTCCCAACAGGGGAGAATCCTATCAAGTCCTCTGCTCCCCACTCCATATACTGTCCCTTCTCCTAAGCTTATTCTGTAGCTGAGCAGGCTCTTGTGCCAGCTTCCAGAAGACCTTCAGGCTCTATCTTCCCTCTGCCTCCTTCCAGCTTCCCTTCCCAACTTCTTCCACCTCTCTGGTCCTTCTTAGCTTCCTCTTCTGGTTTCTCCCTTTGCCCAACCAGTACATACAAAGCTCCTGAAGGCTCGGCCTCAGATTCCTTCCGGCATTCAGGTTCCTCTCACTAAAACTGAAAGCGCCACAGGGCAGAATTGGGGTACTTTGCAGGCTTGTGCTGAGTAATTATCTGTTGACTGATTGACTGACGGCATCATTTCCAGACTTGTATCTTGGAACTAGGTCTCTTTCTGATGCATCAAATAGCTTCTTCAACATTTTTCTTTTGATGTCCTCAAAGCAATTCAAAAGCAAACACGTGACTCCTCACCGCTGTTCTCCCAGAGTTCAGAACCTATACGCTCGTCTGACTCCCTTCCCCCGTGTCCCTCCTGCACTCAGTTTCGAATCAACACTGTATCCCACTGCTGCCCTTCTCCCTGATAAGTGGCCAGAGTCTCATCTGGACCATAGCCTCCCAACTGGTTTCTATCCATCTTGCCTCCTGTAACCCATTCTCTCAACAATACAACAATCTTTCAAATCAGAAATCTGACCGTCACTCCCTACTTGCAGCTTCTTGCTGACCTGAGAAAGGTCCTCAGTCCTCGATATGGCTCACTGGGCCCTTTTCTACCTTGTGTTCAGGTTCACAGAAAGATGGAGCTCTCCATGTGCAGTGCTGCTTTGAAGTTCTCTGTGCATGTTGGGTTTTGCCAGGATTCCCCAGTTCCTTGATCCTTGGGACCATACCAATATGGTATGCTCTCCAAGCACCCCTGGGCCACTTTAACACCCCACAACCTGAGGTGCTGATTTCTGGTTAGGAGGGAGGCCTGGGCAAGTTATAACAAGCAGAGCGAGAGTCACTGCTGTAGAGCACTTGGGGACATATGGATTATTCTGGAAGTCTCTTCTGCTTGGTTTTGTGGGGACACTGCTGCTTGAAGCTAGGTGCAAGACAAGAATCCCAGGCATGGTGCTGGTGATGACAGTTAGATCTCTCCAGGGCTGAGTTGAGTCAATTCACCAACCCTGGCCAAATCCTGTGCTGGTGGCTATGTCTGTTTCATGTTCTGTCTGGCTTACCTACTTTCCTCTTCAAAAGAGCAACAGTGGCACAAAGGGAAAACACTGGAAGGGAAGACACTCTTTCAAGAAATTAACACTGAATTCAGTTTTTTTTTTTTTTTAAATGCCAATAGCTGCCTGCCTTATGTCATAGCACCTCAACCCTCTGCAAAGGGGGAACCTTCATCTCTTTTAAGAACAATGCAAAGGTCAGGAAAGGGGGAGAGAGAAAGGAGAGCAGGTGGCTGCGTTGCCACCCTATGCTATTCAAAGCTGTGGCTGAGTGAGCTAAAGGCATATGGGGCTGACCTGATGATGAAAGAGCCTCTGACCTCCAGGAGCTTCCGTTCACTGCTGAACCTCTGCAGAAGGTTGATCATGAACTTGTAAAAGTAGGAGTTCATGGTGGGAGTGGAAGGAGAACATTCTAAGCCTTTGGTACCTGTAGAGAGAGAAGGAGCGAGTCGGGCTTTATTCTCTTTGTATGTCCACAGGGTGATGAGACTTGTACAGAATACAGTTGTAAATGCCAGAGGTGTATATGTGTGTGTAACAAGATGAGAGGAAATCTCCAGTAAAGGGTTACAGATTGGAAGTAAGGACCCTATGAGTGTGTATACATACACATAACTCTGCTTTATGCAAAAATACTGACTTACCTGTTCATTCCCCCACCCAAACTCATAGCACTCAGTGAATACCTCACGTGTAAGACCCCATTATATGCTATGATAACAAACCAACAAACTAACGTCTACCCATATTCCAACACATTAACTACATGTGTGGTGTCTGCTTTGCCCAGTTTAAGGATAATGATCAGTCAAAGAGAATACAACTTCATCATGGTCAACAAAACCAGCAAAATGCCAAGGGGCAAAAGACAAACTCTTAGTGTTGAGAAAAACTCATGCACACACCAACCAGGTTTAAAGACAGCCAACACCATCAAAACAGGGCAATGTGTTTGGATCTTCACCTTGCATTTGGAAATCAAACATTCATCTTTAGGCAAAGATGTTCTTCTAAGATGGTACTCAGAAAGCCTGCAAAGCCCTGAGCTGGCTGTGGAACACAGCACTGCTCTCCATGTGCCTCAGCTGAAAACATGCTCAGGGCTCCACATCATCCTTCCTTCAGCCTGTTCCTGCATCCGTGCCCTGTGTGGTTTGCAGCACTGAGAACAAGGGGAAGGCTGATGGGAGGCTGATGCTTTTCTGGTGTGGGGTAGCTATGCAGCCCACAGGCTCTCCCTTCCTGTCTAATGCATGATGACCACTACGACGATGCTCAAAAGAGTGCCAAGGATGGTGGGAATCCCCACTCAGGTCTGCCCAAAGCACTAATGGAGCATTTTCAAGGCTCCTCCTCATTGTATAGATAATACCATATTTTATTTGTTCATTCATCAACTGGTGGGCTGGCTCTCAGCTGTTTCTACTTTGTGGCTATGATGGAATATATTGCTGTGAATGATCATATTAACAAATTTCCGTACAGACATGTTTTCCTTTCTCTTGGCTGTATACGTAGGAATCAAACTGTTGGGTCACATGGAAACACTGAAACCTAACATTAAAAAAAACTGGGCTGGAGATATAGCCCAGTGGTAGAGTGTTTGCCAAATATGCCCAAGGCCCTGGTTAAATTCTCAGTACTGCAAAACAAAACAACTTTTGTGGTGCCACAGAGCCTTACAGATGCATGCTAGGGGAGTCTCTACCACTGAGATACATGTCTAGCCCCATAAAACTTTAAAATTTGGTTAAGCTCAATGTCATTTTTCTTTGGCTGCTCATGCTTTTGGGACAGTGGGCTAAGCAGTGTGGCCAACTGAAGCCACCAGTTTTTGAGCTGGCCTTTCTCTAGTTTGGAAACCCCTCTCCCCAAAAAAGTGAAGGGGCGGGCGGGCAGGCACGGGAACAAGACAGGCAGGATGTGGGGTCTCTGGGGATCAAATCTGGTCGTGGAAGTGCACCTGAGTTTCCACAAGCATTAGTCCAATGGATGGAAGAAGAATGTACAGTGCCAGCCTTGGCCCCACAAGCAAGAGTCCTGGAGGGGCTATGGCACCAGGGGCCAGTGGAATGTTCCTGGGGATCTTTTGCTTTTTCTTTTTTAAAATAGGGAAATGGCTGGGAACTAGAGAAGGTAGTTGTTTGTTTTCCCTTTATACCTCCAAAACTGCCATCTCCAAACCCAGAGGTCCTCCTAAATAGCCCTCCACACTTCCAAACCCTGCCAACCTAAATCCCAAGACTCTCCTAGACAGCACCCTCAATCCTGAGGCCCTTCTAGACAGCCCATCCCCATGAGCTGTGTTGGGGTGAGTCCTGAATACGAAGCTCAGCTCAAGGGCAGGCCTCATTCAACATCCTGCTCTTTGGACTGCATTGTTCTGGGTCCTAGTTGAGGATAGCCTGGCTGCTCAGGTCCTGAGTAACTCTGGAATGGCAAACAGTCTTAGCTCCTAGGGCCCAGAGGGGCTGTTTGAAGAATCAAGTGTCACATTCTTGTAGATCAAGTTACCCCAGGCCCAGCGGGGACTGTTTTCAGAAGAGATGGCTGCGGACACAGCTGCTGAGGCTGTTCCACCCACCCTGCTACCCTCACCCTCACGAGAAATTCAGCAGGGCCTGGCTGTCTGCCCCACACACTCAGGGACATATAGACAGGTACCCGGTTAAGTGCAGGCTTCTCCTGGGTGTACATCTCTGCATGATTTGGGGCCCTATCTTCTCCCTGCTTCTCTGCATGTACTTGAGCCGCTACCCTATTTCCAGGCCTCAGGTCACAAGGTTTCAAAGTATTTTAAAGGACACAGGGACTAATGCAGGGAATAACTGCAAAGGAATCCTCCCTGCACAGCTGTCTGGAGCTCTCAGGGGGCTGAGTGCTTCGAGTGGCCATGGGGGTTCCGGTTTCAGAGACGCAGGGGAAGTGTTTCAGCTTCTGTTTCCTTATCTAGAGGTGGGGCAATGAATCCTTGATAAATGAGACAACATATGCAATGAATGGGGCAAGACCTGTTACATCCTCGGTGCTCAGTAAATGTGGGGAGAGGAAGGGAACACTGCTTTTATTAGCAAATGTCTCCTGTCCCAGAGCACTGTGTGGGGCAGACTGCTTTCATTCCCTGCCGAATAGGCTGGAAATGCATGAGTGAGGACCTCAGATCTGGGACAAATTCATGGAGTTCTGCTGGGATGCTTTAGGGAAGAGTAAGAGTCACCTGTGACCCTTCCAGCTGACAGACTAGCCAAAGATGGCAGAGGAGATGGCCTGGACACATCTCTGCTCTCCTTAGTCACAGTTCCTACACTGTGGGCCAAATGGGTGGTGGCCCTTAGTAGAAAGCACGCGGGTACAAGCTTCACCAAGTATTTCTCAATTTCATGAGCAGCAGCTGCTGGGAAGGCCTTGTGAGCTCAGTCCTTGAAATGTTCTATTGTTCAAAGATCACACAGAACAAGAAGCCAAGTACTTCCCAGCTGGGCATATATGTCTTCCCCAAGACTCAGCTGATAGGAGGCCTACCTGTGGCAGGAATTTAGGGGAGCCACTCAGAGCCTCAGATTGGCCTGCACTGAGTACAACCATCAAGAGTAGGGCCTGTGACCTTAAAACCCCACCTGTAAGAAGACCACTGCCCCTGTGTAGGGCTGGAAGTCCTTTGTAGCATGAAAGGTCGTCAGGGAGATGGACAAGGTGGGAGAGCTGTGTCAGTGTCCCTAGTGACAGGGTCAGAGCCTGTGAGGGCTTTCCCTAGCTTGGTTTACCCCTTTGTCCAGCCTTCCTCTGACCTCAGCAGCCTTCAGGCATTGTTGGCTTGAGAGAGAACCGAAGAGGTTCTTAAAAGAAGGTAATGTTAGAATCCAGTCTCTGCCCAGGCCTCCCCTCACAGGTACTGACAGGTACCCCACTGGGAAAATGTGAATCTGGAACTAGCAGACTTGCCAATGCCATGACATCTCACCTGGAAAGTGAGTTTACATCAAAAGGATGCCACATCCTGTTCCCTACCCCCTTCCCTGCCTGTTGCCTGGGAATCAGAGCCTGGCCGCAGGTTCTGGTTGTGAGTCCTCCCTCACCCTAACACGGTATGAGACTCCCTCTTCTACCACATGGGCTCTGATTCTCTTCAGAGACCCCACCATGCTGTCTGTCTCTAGTGCAGGGGTCTGAACTCTCCTCAGAGCCCCCACCATGCTGTTGTCCTGATCTGTCCATCCATGGCGTTACTAAGTCTTCTATTAAACTTCTTAGTGCTGGTTGTCCATCTCAGTGTTCTCTTGAACCACCCGCCCATCCAAAACCTAACAATTTTCAGCCAGGGCTGTGGGGCTCAGGAGGAGATGAAGTGGAGAGAACAAACTCGCCCCAGGAGTGTGAGTACAGGGCTGGCAGGACTCTCTCCACTGCACTGATTTCTGCCTAAATGCAGTCTGCTTCTACCTGGGGACAGCTCAAGCGCCTCTCTGCTGGCCTCTTCCGCCCACCTCCAGCTCTTGCTCATCTGAATGCACGTTCTGCCGTGGTTCTAGGTCTCAAGACAAGCCTGGGCTGTTGCTGCACATGCCTGAGGAAGGGGTAGAGCTGGGACAGGTTCAGCAGCTTGATCCAGGGCATGCCCCCAAATCTGTGTTTGAACAAAGGTATGCTAGGACTCTGTTCTTGGCATTACTGACAGTGAGATTTTGCAGGCCTACTCAACTGGCGGATGAGGTGTTTTGGAACCTCCCAGGCCAGGGAGGAGAGGAGGGCTTTGTGTCTTAGGGCTCTCTCTGAAGGGTCTAGGAGAGCAGGCTCTCCATTTCTTGACCTGTAGAGGACAGGGGTGTGAGGAAGAGTGCAGTCCCTCAGACAAACAGATTTACTTTGCATTTCTGGTTTGGGCAAAAAGCCTGTGGGGCTCTGGCTGGAGGCTCACGTGACCGGCTGGCTGCTCTGGGGCAGACAGATGCTGCGGGGAGCCCTCTGTATACAAAGCCATGCTGGTGGGGTGGTGGCTGGGGAGCCCGCCCTGCAGATGTTGCTAAGTGAAACCTGATGTGGTGACATGAGAATCTGTAGAACGTCTCACAAACAACCTTCTCTGGGATGTTTTGGATTGAGTTTTGTGGCTATGACGTTAAAGAGCCTCACATGTCAGGATAAAAATAGCTCTGGCCTCAATACACAATGCGAGTTACAGTGCAACAGAACCAGATGCGAAAACATCAGTCGCCCAGCTCAGACTCTGCTTGCAACGTCCCTGTTCCATTCTCTACCTCCTTCCCTGCTGAGGATGGGGCCATGGACCTGGACAGCCCCACTGTAGCCATTAGGATTTATTGCCTTGAGAAGGCAGAAGAGCCAGTGGCTGCTCAGAGCACCCAGGAGGTCAAGGGACCAGATGAGCCCTGGACCTTGCTGACTTAGCCCGGCTGTGGAAACAATGTG